TTACAGTTACCATAAATAAAGAGAACACAGAGGTGAAAATTACAGTTACTGTAATTAAAGAGAGACAAACTTGGGATTTTTACAACTGACTGCTTTACTACAGGGTGATTACTTGACATGGTGCCGCTTAGTACAGGTTCAACTATATGCTGATAACCCATTTCAAAACAAAATACCTAGTTGTGCTTACAATGTTTTGTTGTGCTGCACTCATAACTCAACTAAAGAGTAACATTTCAGGAAATAATGGAGATAACTGTGTCTTTGTTAGATAGCTTTAAAGTTGACAAACAATTTTTACTCTAGTCACTGGCTAGTCAGGTAGGCCAAGTCCAGGTTTCAGTTTATTATCTATTTAGCTATCGACAATATTGAAAGTGTGTAAGCCTGCATTGCTTGATGGTCAGCAGTATTCCTCTACAAGTATGAAAGCGTCCAAGCAACATGGATGCCATATTGGAATCTTTCAAGATGACAATTAAATGTGTTAACAGAATCAAGAAGCCATGGACTTGTGTCAGTGACAGTAAGGATTTTAGTTTCTTATTTCTTGTATTGTTTTTGTTAATGATGTTTCATCCTAATAAAAAGTCACAGTGATTAGAGGAATGCAGGTCTTGTTATGCTAAATTTTGTACTCATCACTATGTTGATCACAGGCCTCGTGTTATTTAGCGTGATCAAGAACCAAGCAGAGTCCCAGCCAAACAACTTGCACATCTTTTGCACAAAAGCAGAAAAACACGGAAAAAGGTTCCCAAGTAAATTGTCATGAAAAAAATGTCCCTATGTCATCTACATTGCATTGCTTTGTCAATAAGTGTGATTTTGCCCACGAAGAAGTCAAGTACGTATGATGCACGATCCTCGCAGTAAAGAAGTAAAGTATTGCATAAGTTATCATTGAAAGTTTAAGAGTAATCTAGCCTCTGTTATTGCTTTACCTAGACCAAGAAATCTACAGTCTAGAAATTTACTTTTCATATCTCATCAGAGGGCCATGAATGCCAAGCTTCTTTATTATCCTCCACTGTTGACAAATCCAAGTTCACACAAAATGTTGCCGGCAGCTTATCCCACGTTTACAATACTCAATCACACAATCATTCACAATAATTTATCACAAGTAGAGATGTAGAAATAAATCCCCTGTACTCTACAAAGCACAGTTGAATGATAATGAAATATTATTGTTTTCTTCCATCCCTTATCCTATCAAATTTACAATACCATAACGAATGAATGTAATGATTTAGTTTGTTCATTTAGAGAGAGAAAACTGCTGCTTTTGTTAAGTTCTTATAAAAAAAATTGTCCTGGCTTCTAAATACAATTTCTCCTTGTGCCCTGCATAAGTTGGCTTCAAAGACTTCTCAGCAGTGGAAATCCTCTCTCACATTAAAAATAATGCACTTCTCAGCGACTTCGTTTTTCAAAATTTTTCTGGTGAACATGCCCCAATACCCTCTCCCCTCCCCCCCACTTGATGGGTGATGCCCATGGCATCTCATTCTTCACCAGAAGCTGCTTGACTCATTGTAATCAATTT